ATACTTGCTGATACAAATTAATAGATTTTTTTAAATAACCAAGCATTTCTAAGTATATAAATATATGCTATATTTTTTTTCTAAATAAATAATCAACTCAGTCTCCATTCAACTCAAGAAACCATCTGTGTTTCTGAGCTCTATCGTCACAGATGTCCTTCCTGAATTTTAAACCACTTCCTGCTAGGAAGCTCACCACTTGTAGGGGAAGAGCCTCAGCACATATTTTTTTATTGCCATTCTAAAATCGTGGCATGATACCCATATATCAGAACATTACTTTTCTCTGGCACATTCTTACCTATGTACTTAATAGATGGCGACTAAACATAATGGAAAATAGTGATGAAACGGAGTGCAGAGGGAAAGCAAATGGGTGGAGAGAAAAAACTCCCCCTCTACAGACCAAAAGGCCACCCATCTATGGAGTTGTGTCTTTTTTAGACAAGAATTTGAAGAAAGCAAGCAAAAAGCCCAGCACTTTCCATGGTCACTCAAGAGCAGCATTGATAGGAAGAAGCTTCTCTGGAATTTTCTGGCAAATTTCATCTCTGTTGCTTGTCTTAGCTCAGGCTGTCATGACAAATTGCCACATATTTGTGGCTTAAACAACAAAGACTTATTTTTTAACAGTCCTGACAATAGGAAAGTCCAAGATGAAGGTGCCAACCAGTTTGACTCCAGATGAGGATCCTTTTCAATGTCTTCACAGGGTAAGGGGAAAGAGAGAAGGGAGAGAGTCTCTTCTTATAAGGACACTAATCCTGTCAGATCGGGGCCCCACCCTTAGGATGTCATCCAACCTTAATTACTCCTTTATAGGCTCTGTCTCCAAATAAAGTCACATTAAGGTTCAAAGCTTCAACATATGGATTTGGAGGGTACACAGTTCAGTCCATACTTCTCTGGTAAAGAATGTTCTTCATCTGAAGGCCCCCCCACACACACATGCTAGCCAGAATCATCTCTGGCACATACTACGTACTCCAATAAACAGTAATCCCAGGACCTCGGGCTCAAGCAAAGTCCTAAACACAAATTTTTCTTTCTCCTGTAGTTGTTAGCATATCCTGCTCTAAAGATAAAGTTCTTGATCAACATTGAAATTTATTATCTAAAAGGAATTGTCACTTTATCCAAGAATTTATCTGATAGCATACATTTATGAATTGTTAAAATTAGGAGTATTTGCATGGCAAGAATTTGAGATTCCTGCCTTTTAAAAAGTTATTAGAAATAAAGATAAGGCAGGATTAAAATCATGGTGAATGGACTGTGAGTGGTAGCCTGCTTTTCAGGAATGCCTCTGATGCTAAAATAAAGCCATTGTGCTCCTCATAGTGGACATTATTTTTAGTGTTGTCATGTTCAGTTCCATTTTGTTCTCATTTAAAGAAAAGCAGCATTCCAAAGTTCAGGGTTTGTTCTTCCTGCCAAATTCCACATACGTTCTATTCAATTCAACCAATATGTATTAGGCAACTCCTACAGGCTAGAGATCATTCTAGACAGCGAAAAAGTCCAGGCTTTGGGGAGGTATCATTTGCCACACTACTAGGTCTCCACCTCTCTCTTCCATACACTGTGGGTCTTCAGGTTGTGCTTGCCCACCTCACAGAACTGAATCGGTTTATCCAAAGGACACCTTGGCCCTTCTGGCCTTTCCCCTCCAAGAACTGCCCAGCAAGGACTGTGCCTTATACCCAGCACCATGGCAGTCTCCACTCCAGGCCCCATTAATGCTGTATAGAATACCTAAGATTTTTTATCCTAGTTATAATATTTTTGTACGTCACCTATTATTGACCATAGAACCACACTTAAAAGCAGGTCACATGGAGTAGGAGCAAAACAAGGCTCAGACTCCAGTAGAGGAGTCATCCGAGGAAATGATGGTAGCTATGTCTCTGAAGAGCCCACCAGGTTCTCCGACATCCCCAAGTCACTCACTATATTTTCCTCCTTTTTCTCTCCCTGTTTCCTCCCCTTTTTTATATTTCGCCTCTCACTTGACAATGCCTTCAAAGGTTTGGGTGCCTCTCTTGGAGATTCACAATGTATATCAGCAGGAAACCCCGCAATAAAGAAAAGTATCTAACTGATTTTTGCCAAATGCCATTCACTCTTGAAGTAGTGCCTAGCAAGGTGGGTGGCTCCTAGGGGTTGCTGACCTGTTTCCAAGGATTTAAACTAGGCCATTAATCTGCCCCAATTGCAATGTTGCCTTCCTAAATGCATCTGACCACACACACCTCCTTTTTTTTTTTTCCCCCGTGCTGGGGTTTGAACCCAGGGCCTTGTACATGCAAGGCAAGTACTCTACCTTTTTTGACACCTAACAATGGCAGAAGGAACTACTATTATGCATATCAAGAAATTCTGCTGCAAAACAATTTTCTCTTCTGTTCTCCTCCTCTTCCACCAAATCTATTCTGTGTCTCACTCTGTGGGACACATTTAGATAACTAAACTAATCGTGACACTTACTTTGATTATCCCGCTTTCTGAAATATTGTGGGGGGCGGGTGGAAACATCCTCATTTCATAGTTGAAAACAACTGAGACTGAAATAAGGTAAAGAACTTTCTAAGTCTCATCTAACCCCTAGATGTCCAGCTGGAATTGGAGCCCAGATCTTCCAATGACTTCTTTTATGCTAGCCATTCTGTCAGTAAAATCTTAATATGCTTACCTCCCCGGTGCTGTTTACATTTCCAATCAAAGGGAAAAAAATACTTTAATCACAGAAGAATGAAATGAATTCCTACTAACAGGAATTATGGTAGACTTGGAAGAAGTAAAGGGAGAGAGAATGGGAGGAGGTTGCTTGCTCTTCCTGTCTCCCAGGCCATAGCTCCATCTCCCCAAGGGTACCAGGAAAGTCTGCCTGCTTGAGCCAGAGAAACTTCCATCCTCTTCCAAGCTAAGGTTGTAAGAATATGCAGATAGCTCATACTTGTGGGTAAGCACAGCTATAGAGTGGGGTTACATAAAAACAACTCCAGGTATTCTGATTCATGCAACCCACATACTGTGCCCTCTATCAACAGCTTGGTTTATGGTTTTATTCCAGTGGGGCTGAACTAAACCCTACCATCCATCATACATGAACATTTTCCAACATAAGGAATAAATCCATGTAAAGCTAGCTATATATGCTAGCCTTTTGAAAGTGTGGTGCCTTTTGAAACCAACTGATTTACTAAATATTTTCTAAAATAATATTCCTGAGAAATCAGTTCTTCTTTTCAGCATATATTTTCTCCCCAAACAGATAGAAAATTCACCCAAATCACAAAATCAGAATTTGGGGTGAGTTTCAATTGAAATTTTATGGGTGTTATCCCTTCTGAGGTGCCATAAATATCAATGCATGGTCTGTAGTGATAATCTAGACTGCAGGGACGCATCAGTGGAATTTCCCTGGGCCGTCTGATGGTCATCTCATTAGGCTCCAATCCGGTTGTATTGGTTCTTCTCCATCACCTTTATTTGTTTAAGAGGCCTGACAAGGCAAACACTCCTGATGCGATGTTTACACTGCAGCTTTCACTGGAGCTTATTAAACTCATCGTTACTTCATATACGCTGCAGATATGTGGCTAGGGCCCGTTAAGTGTTGACAGTAAGTAACAGACACCCTGTCACAAGGTAACATGTTTATACACTCCATTGGATGCCTGGTGGATTTTGTCCCTGTAAAACTATCACAGATAATGAAGCTACTATCAGATAAGTGACTATAATAAATGACCACAATTAGGTCTCTGGTTGATGAGAACACTTGGTGGTCTCTGCTGCCTGACTTGGACAAATCCCAGACTAAGCTCACTTGGGGAAAAGAAAAGGAATCAAAAATCAAATGTAAATGAGACTGATGGAATAGAGCACCATTTGATTTCAAAAGGAGCAAGCGTTAAATTTTTTTTTTCCATCTTCTTTTCCAGTCCTCTTTCCCTTACCTTTTTTTCCCATCTCAAAAACAATGAATAAATAAATAAATTTATTTATTTATTATGCATGTATTTTAATGCTCATTTTAATTCTCATGAAATTCAAAAGCATTCAGTATGCCTTCTCCACACTTATCCCCATGAAATCTTGACTGGTAGAAAACACAATCACATAGTAAGCTTACCAAAACTTCTCCCGGGAGGAAGAATCTGACTTGGGTTGTAACTGCACCCAGAAGGAAAGCTGGGGGAGAGACCACATCTCCCAGGGGTCTTGGCATGGATTTCAATATGGCTGGATGGCCAAGGTTCCACTCGGCAGCTCTCAAGGCACAACTATAATCACTTCTTTAAAGGGCTTTTGTTTACGCCAGGCAGGTTCTTGTTACAGGACAGTGAAATAATAGCACAGAATTTAAGGACCCTGATGAAAAGGCCTTTAAAAGACATTTATTTTCTTGTATGGAATAGTCATTTCCAAGGTGACTTATAGATTTACAGGGAGCTTTGTCTATAGATGCATAACTTAAGAATGTGCTGAAAGAAGGTTTGTAGAGCCCCTTCAGAGACCTTAAAAGATGATACTGGCAACGTAAGGCATGATTGACAGTCAAACATGCCCCCGGTGCACCGTGGAATTATTCTTCATCGGTGACAACTATGCTGTTTATGTTATGTCACACCAGCCTGCCCTAGATATCTCCCGACTCCTCCTGGCCCCCTACAACCTCCCCTCAATTCCCTCCCCACCCCAATACTTCCAGCCATCCTTCCAGCCTCCTTTGAATCACAGCTAGCCCTTTTAAATGTGGCTAGAGGGAAAGTGTTTTTCAATAAAGGTATGTTAAATCTGGGGTTTTCCGTTGTCACTTGATTTAATATCCCCTAATAATAGTTTTAAGGGAAATTACCCTGAATGATAGAATGATCCACCCTAGGAATAAATGCTTTGGGAGTGGAGGGTCAGGAGTGATGGATGGAGCTTTTGTCTATCCCTGTTGCCAGAAGACCTCATAAACTCAGGAAAGCTGCCCAGGCATCACTCTGTTTATCTTTTCACGACTTTAAAGGTGATTTATTTGACCTTTGAAAACGGCGATCATACTTCTTGCTGAAAACAGTGCACGTTTCAGCATAAACGGTGACTGTCGAGATGGAGAGGTCTCCAGTCTGAGGTCCTTTAACATTTTCTTCTCTGTTCTAATCAGAATGGGGAGCATCTGCTGGATTCTTAGTACAAACACATTTGAGGGACATTGTCTAAATACACGGAGATAAGTGTGTGTTTATGTACTATACATACATATAGTTTCCAAAACGATTTCCAAAACTATTTATAAATGTCCTCGATGTTGGGTAAACGAATAGCAGTAAGGGTAAAGAAAAGGCTTGGAATTTGAGAAAGGATCTGAGTCCCACACTTACTAGCTGGTTTACCCTAATTAAATAATTTAGAAACTTACAAGTGAGAACTCTGGAGCCGAGCCACCTGCATTGAGCAAGCTCTGCCACTTACACGATGCAATTGTAGGCAAGACACTTTAACCTCTCTGGGCTTTGATGAATTTATGTGCAAAATGGAATATTAATAGTGCCTGTACCTCATAAAATTGATGTGGAGATTAAATTAATTGAAACCTGCATGTTGTTTAAACTAATGCCTGGCACACAGAAAACAATAAATGTTCATTGTTGTTATTATCGTCTATACAGGGGATAAAATAATTATACTTTCAACAAATAGATAATGTAGGAAGTAATATTAGACAATACATGCTAATGCACCTTGAACAATGTGACAAGTGGCTACTTGGCCACTGAACTGAAGATACACAGACCTGTTTATATCATTAGTACTGAATGCTATGATGAGGTAGCTTCTCATAACATTAACCATGATGCTTTTTAACTATGAAGCAATAAGATCATTTGTATCTTCATTTTAAACATGAAGAAACTGAAAGTCAAAAACAAATGAAATTTCTTCCTCAACGACACGTGGCTCCTTAGAATATAGTATTCTGTATATCCTAATTAAAATGCTCTAGTTTTACAATGTTGTTTATTGACTGATGAGCAAGAAGCAAAATAATAGTTAGCGGTTCTTTGGGTTTGTGCAACCTGCTTCCTTACAGGAATCGGTTTCCACTTCACAGGGACCCAACCAACAGAAGAAATAGTTCCCAGATCAGAGAGAATGTCATCAGCCATGTGTAGCATTTCCCAAAAATAATCCTGGGAGGAAATGAAAGGAAGCATGAAGCTCCAGAGACTGGAGTTAGGAGAATTGCCTTCTCAACTGCTTACTGGGTTTTACTTCTTTGGAATATTGGTAAAGATATTTGGAATCAATAAGATTTCTATCTTAAAACATTTTATGTCTTTCTAGAACTTGGCCCATCATTTTAAAAAATGAACAACTGCAAAGAGAACTCATTCCATGAAAATAGAACTGGATTTCTATTTCCACCAATGACTTTGCAATCCCTCCCAACAACTGGTCAGCAGTCTAGCACAGGGATACTCAAGTGTGGGGGGAAGGTGTTGACACTGAGACCCCCACACCTTTTGCAAGTCAGAAGGAGTTCATTGTGTGATGGTTTTTTTAAGGCTCTGGGAGCTATTTTGGGACTCAGGAGCAATTAATTGATAGGGACAGAGGAGACAAGTCTTGGAGGGAATCAGAAGTTAAGTTCTTGGGACACATGAAACTGTATTCTCCCAGGCATTGGGATAGTGGAAGCAATAAGTGGTTGTTTTGTAGAAACCAGAGGGCATCCATTCTGGGAATAGACTCACCTACTTCCAGAATTCCCAGAGCACCACCTGTAGAAACTGCTGACTGACTGACACTTCCCTTGGTTCCAACCTCCCCTGTCCCTCTCAGAAGCATCAGCACTAATGAATGCCACAACAAGGTGCCCATCCCTGACCCTGCAAAGGTCCAGCTTAAAGCCATGAATTGAGAAGGGCTCTGGAGTTGCCCACCCTCGTCTATGATGACAACCTATAATTTATTAGCCACTGCCTTTGTCTTCAGATCGTGACGATTGCAGGTGCACTAAGGGGACAGCTGAAGGCTCATTAATCTTCACCCTGATGGGGAAGAGACTGAAGGTAATTTAACTGGATGGGTGAGGTAGATACAAAGACCACAAGGTAAAAATGACAAGATTATTAACTGCTTCCAGAGCCATCTGTTTACCAAGCTGCCTCGATAAATGGAAGTGGGCTGGTTAAACATGGACCAAGGCTCAAGAAAGATTTGGAGAGGAGAGCCCCTGGCAGATGTGGGTAATGGCAAGGCTCCACATTTCCAGAAAGAAGGCAAAGGACTTTTGTGGTTAGAAGAGGAACTTGGGCTTCGACCAGCTCAGCAAGCAGGCTAAAGTTTAAAAGGTCAATGCAAATACAGAAATATTTCTCTCCCACACCCACAAAAAAGGAAACGGTTGGACTTAATCACCACGGTCCCCTTCAAATCCTTCTCTGTCCCACCTCCCATTACAGCAAACTCAGATTTTCCTCCTGTTCAAGGTTTTTAAGGCTGGTCTACAGCTCTTTGCCTGAGAGAAATAAGTCCTCTGCCTGTGGAAGGGACTGAGCATCTAACTCAGGCAAGGAATTTCCTGATCTTCCAGGAGAGAAAGCACCAAATAAAGGGATACGAATTCACAATTCCTCCTTGACCACCATAGATACTCTCTGTGGAAATATTTCCTAGATATCTGTCTTCTCCACATCATGGAAGCTTTAGAAATTCCAACAGTAAAAAAATATTGTCCCCATACACAGACCACAAGCAAGTGAGGAAACCTTCACTTCCCAACTCCTGGTCTGGCTCAGGATTGGTGCATAGAAATGTAATGACATGCTTCCAAGCTCTTGACATCGCCTCACTTTGTGCCTAAACTGGCCCTGATCCCAGCCCTGTCCTTTACCCGACCTCCATGCCCAAATTGACCACATCAAACTACAGATCTGTGGATCCACCCAGACAAGGTTTTGTTAAAAAAAAAAAAAAATAGGCAGGTGTAACGTGCTTAAGGCCTTGTGTTTTACAAATCCCTCATCTAAAATGAGGCCTAATAGGTATGAGTAGAACTATTAACTTCTCCACTTTACAGATGAGAAAACTGAGACAGAGGCATTAGGCTTACCAAGGTAGTAGGAAATAGGGCAGATATTAGACTCCTCTGAGTATTTCTTTTATGTTAGTGTACAGATTTGTGGAAGATACTCATTTACCTCCTTGAAAGTCATGAGTCCCTCCTTCCTTATTCATAGAACCAGAATTATGTTCTGGCCAGAGATGCATTGGTCTCCAAAAGTGAACCCAGCTTCTGGACGAAGAACAGGCATGTGACTCATTTCTGATCTTTGAGATAAAAGAGGGAGTCTGTAGGTGGTTTCTGGGAAGATTTTCTTCCATGATGAGAGGGGAGATCCTTGAGTGGAAATTCACTTACCCTACATTGATCATGGAAGGATAGCAGTATAATGATTGGCATAGACGCAGCTTTGGGGCAACAATGAGGGAGAAGATCAAGGATACCAAAGCGAAGACAATCCAGAGCCTTGAAATCTCTAAGCTGCTAAATTAGCATCAGTAACTGAATATTACCACACTTCTAGTTGAAGTCATTTTTAATTAAGCATTTTTCCTGAAATTCAAAGCATTATTAGCTAATATGCTTCTCCTCCAGACAGTGAGAAACTCAAGGACAGAGACTTTATTTTATTTGTGTTTGAGTCCCTCTGGAATTTGGTCCAGAAGTGGTCACATAAGGTCTAGGGACATAGCTCAGTAGCAGAGTGCTTGCTTTGCATGTGAAAGGCCTTGGATCAATGCCTAGCACCAAGTGTATGTGTGTGTGTGCGTGTGTGTGTGTGTGTGTGTGTGTGTGTGTGTGTGTACATATGTATAGGGGCAATGCCTAGCACCAAGTGTGTGTATGTGTGTGTGTGTGTGTGTACATATGTATAGGGGTGTGTGTATGTGCACACACATGAGCTAGAATAAAGGAAAGAAGGAAAAAAATATACTTATATACCCTAGTGTGATTAACTTGTCAAAATCAATGAAATAAAACTTGGGGTTTTACACTTGCTGATACTTGATATTCCTCTAGGTTCTGATTACTATTGCCATTACTCTTTCTTTGCTAGAACTATTCTTACTATTTTTATAAACTTTGACAACTAAGAACATTTTTTTTAGAAAGGTGAGCAGATTAGTAATGTGTTTCTGCAATTTACATACAGAATTATTTAAAAGAGACATCTGAAATTGGTGAAGAAAAGAGTTATTCAATAAATGTAACAATCTAATAATTATATAAAAAAATAAGATTCCTAATGATATACACTAAAATAAATCCCAGATGAATGACAGTCTACTATACTACAAATTAATTACTGAATTCTTAAAAATATATAAAATATACAAAGAATATATAAATGCATATTTACATGTGACTTTCAAAGAAATTTACAAGGCAGAAATCACAAAGAAGAAAATAAAAATATTGACTACATAGAAATTTAAATTTTCTGAGTGTTAAAAAATACCATAAACAAAATTAAAAGAAAAAAATGCATACAAAATGAATGCCTTAATCTGTATAGAAACCTTATAAGAAATCACAAAAGAAAAAAATCACACCAAAAAATAATGTACAGAGTACATTAGCTTAAAATTGACTAAAAAAAACAGAAATAAATAAACATGAAAATATAGAAGTCTCACTAGTAACAAAAGACATTTAAACTAAAATGAGGGAGCTAGGGATATAGTTCAATGGTAGTGCCTACGTAGGTATGCATGATTTGATTTGATTCCTGGTAGAGAGGGAAAAAAATAAAATGGAATCACCTTTGATATTTTTTGGAAATTTTTTTTTCATTTTATATCAAGTGCTTCAGAGAGGTTAGAAAAATGTGCTTCTTATAAGCTCCTTCCTGTTGGAACCAGAAATCAAAAAATGAAAATTCACAGAAAAAAAAAGAAAAAGAAAACCTTTGAACTGTCTTACCACCTTACAGAATCTACTCAAAGGTAATACTTCTAAAAAGAATACAAAGAGTTACTGTAATTATGTTTATTGCTGCATTAATAGAAGAATATTCAAAAGAATTGAACTAAATGTCATAATGTCAGATCTCATATCTATTCAGTGTTCTTACAAGACAATGTGGGTACTCAGAGATGCTCCATTGTAGTATAAGTGAAAAAGCAAAACAAGCAAGTCATGAAATAATTTAAGTATCTCAATGTTGAATGCAAATCAGTAATGAGGTAGCAGCAACACAGAATTTTTCTTTTTTTTTTCCTGTCTATTCCAAAGTTTCTGTTTCCATGAATTGCATATATTATTTTCATCATCAAGAATATTTCTTTCGTGTAAGAAAGAATAATAACAAGCTCTCAATGAGGGTGTGTGTGTGTGTGTGTGTGTGTGTGTGTGTGTGTGTGTGTATGTGTGTGCGCACACGAGTGCATTGCATGTACTAGAATAAAGGAAAGAAGAATAAATAGAATAAAGGCAAGAATAATCACAAGCTCTCTTGTCTGAATATCACACACCTGGAGGCAGGCTCTTCCTAATAGCACTTCAGTTTCCTAACACATTATTTCTTAGTCATGTTACCATATTGGCACATCCAGACTCTAAAAAAGACCAGGTGCTCACAAAAAAAAAAAAAATCATATTATCAATGCATCAATAATAAACCTTTCTGAATGAATTTGGTTTATAAAACTGGCAAAATGTGTGTATTCACAAGACAGTGCCTTGCATAGACACTACATCCTGTAACCCCACGAGAAAAACTTCCAAGGGAGAGATGTGCAAACATCTCTCAAGACCTCTGGATGACTTGTTTAAGGGAGGAAGTGCTGGGCCTTAAGAACTCTGGCTTTACTGCACACTTTGGTCCTTCATGCACAACTGCATTCAGCATATACCTTTGAGTGAGTCCTAATGACTACCTGGCTCCTAAATCCTATGGCCCTGGGAATGAGGGACCTGATCTGTGAACAAGGGGCTTTGTAGCCTCTTCCATTCACTGCACACCCCCAGCTTCTGGCATTGCTCATGACCCTGAAGGGGTCTCTTGGAGTTTACTCTCTTGGGTAAGGGTGGGCCCTCTAAGCAGCCATAGAAAACCCAATAGTGGGTCAGAGTGGAATACAGTTAGATACAAGCCTTACTGAAGAGTCAAGTCATGCAAGAGGTCGGAGCTCAGCCACAACTGCCAAATTGGTCTCCAGTGCTTCATTGCTTAGAATCACTTCCCCTTAACATTATGCCAGGGACCAGCAAGGGGACCTGAAAACACAGCTATTTCATGCTCAATAAATATTTCTTTTCTGACTGATATCTTCTTATAGGGTAGCCTTAGGAATTCCTTTCAACAAATAAATAAATAAATAAAACAAGTTCATAAGATAGATCTATTTTTGTCCCATCTACCATCATAACAGAAATACTTGACCTCAGCCTCAAGGCTTAAGCAAACAGAAAGAGGGGGAAAAAAGTGAGTAAGAGAGAAAAGGGGAAGGAAGGAAGGAAGGAAGGAAGGAAGGAAGGAAGGAAGGAAGGAAGGAAGGAAGGAAGGAAGGAAGGAAGGAAGGGAGGGAGGGATAGATGAATGGATTGGGGAGGGAAAGAGAAAGAAGGAAAAGGAAAGAGAACTTGATCACGGGAAAATATATGTACACTGTTGGATATAAGATGCTTAAAAACTTAATTTTTTTCCTTCTTCCAAGATATGCCCAAGTCAGTTCATCACCACCTCCAAATATTTGGATCATTACAATCCAAGAATTAGTGAGGAAGATACCTAATTAATTCTAAAGTGGGGTTAGGACAATAGCTTGCACACAGTCATTGACATCATTATTGTTTTCATAGCCACATTCAAAAGATAAGCATCTTAAACACAAACCTTCATCTTCATCTTAAACCCATACCTGACACCAACTCCAGCTTAACTGTGAAGGAAGGTGAGTTTGGAAAAGTTACTTTACCTCTCTCCAAACTCAGTTTCCTTAACTACAAAATGAAAAAAGCAAGATCTATCTCACATAGATTCTTTAAATCTATGATTAAACTAACTATTGTGCAAAGATGTTGGATGAAAAATTAATTCTCCTTACATATTCCTCCTTTGCAAATGACTCAGAATGCATCATTGGAGCATGAGGAAACTACCACCACCTGGTGTATGGGTCTCAAAACTGCATATGCAACAGCAAAGGTGACAATACAGCCCTGAGAAAACTGCAATGTTCAGAAGTGATAGAAAGTCACACGCATTTAATACATTATCATGTGTGGGAGAGAGGCCACTAGAGATTTCAGGGTGATGGGTACAGTCCATCAAGGCATACTTCCTGGAAGAGGTACATTTAGTTTTGAAATATAAGAAAAAAAAAGAAAAGAGGATGTTGATAGGCTCAAAAGAAGAAAGAATCGTTTTCTGTACAAAGCTGGAGGAAAATCTTAGAAGCAAAAGAGGAAGATCTTAGCAGCCTCAAGAATAATGTCAGCTGGCCCTAGTCTGTTAATAAGCCCTTAGGCCTGATGCTCACAGAAGAACAAGGGGAGAAAATGTGGATGGTTGGGTATATGTTACCCCCACTATCGGACACATATTCTCAGACCGCCAGATGGGAGTGTTCCAAGCACATTATCACTAGCTTGTGGCCCATCTTGGTGTCCCCTACAATACCTAAGTCAGAGCCTGTACCTGGAAGAAGGTTCACATGCCACTAAGTCAACTTCCCCACCTGGTAGGGAACCGAGGTCATGTTATGCAGCTAAGCTCCTACCCACCTCTCCTCTAGGTACCCCTTACTCTGTATCCTGGGACTTACCATGTCCTCTCTTTCTTCTTTAAAGTCATTTCTTCATCTGTCTGAAAAATATTCTAAGGGTCCCAGTGGAGACATCTTCCAAAAAGTGTTTTCTGACCCCCTGTAGCACTAAATAATTTCCTTAAAGTTCTAGCGTGTATTATTATGTGATGATTTCTTACCCTGTTATCTGCTTCTGTGTTTGACTTTAACTTCTATGAAGGCAGAAACAATGTTTCTCTTGTTAGTTGCTGTTTCCTAAAGATGTAGCATAGCATCTGGTGTCTGAAAGTCCATTTAAAAAAATATATAAGTTCAAGTTAACAGAATGCCCCCCAAAACCCCAATCCAAGTGGTTCTGAGTAGCCTAGAAATGAAGGAATCAGGAGAGAAAAGCCCTCTATAAGTGCCCAGGTAAGCAGCCCTAAAGCTCACCTCTGAGATGCTGTTGGTGCCGACCATGACAGTTGTCAAATCCAGAACCACTTTAACCTGGCTAGCTTTAGCCAGTGTATCCCCACCTCCCCTGAACTAATAGAAATTCAAGTTACACTCTGTACAACATTCTGAGCTTGATGCCATGTGTTGAACAACCTTGGCAACTGGGTGTGAAGCTTCAATCACAAGGCTGGACAAAACAGATCAAGACCACATACAATTCTCTCATAGACTCAATTTCTTGAAGTAAGGGAAGAACTCACCCTGATTTTCTAACTCCAAGAAAAAAGAAGAAAGAACCATGATGGGCTTGGGCAGGAAAGACTAACCCTAGTAGGAGAGCTCAGAAGCTGGGCAGTCACAACAGGCACTTCCAATGGAACATTCAGGATGATCCAGGAGTGAGCAAGCAGGGGAGGGAAGGATTAAAGTGTATCCAACACTACAGGACCAGGCAGCATCAGCCAACCACTCACAGTACATGGTCCCAGGCCTTTCTAGTACCAGCTGCCAAAGTGACTGCTCCTCCAACACAGCAGCTTCTGTCATAATCACTGCCCAGTGGCAGCTGCATAAAACCCCCAAGGCAGAAAGCCCAGTGTGGCCCTCCCCTGGCAGAACCCTAGCAACATCCTGAATATAGATAGAAGTTTTCCTTTGGCTCCCTCCCATCAGCATCATGGAGAAAAGAATTCTATGCCCCCAAATATAGATGGTGCAAAATGGTTTCTCCCAGACAAAACAGTTTCTTCTGTCACAGGCAAGAGGGACACAACAGAAAAGTCAGCCACAGAATGGTGACATCTCCCAGCAGCAGACTTCAAAATAAACCTTGTTTCTGTGTAAGGTGATATTTTTCTTCCCTACTTAAATTCAGTTTGATTATTTGGTAATATGAATTTATACTTCAAGGCACTTCCCCACAAAACATACTTTTTCCTTCATCCAAGTGTGACCTAGGAAGCCAATTTCTGCCCAGAGACATCCCAAACTCTTAGATTACTCAGGCTTTGCAGGTACACATGATATCTTCCTGCAGTTCTGCAGCTTCTTTCGCCCAGACCTCTATATATGGTGACAGGACTTTTACAATAAGTGAATCTGATGAGAGCTGGATGCTATCACAGAGCTTCAGTGCTTTTGAATTTTTCACCCCAAACCCCTCTTACAACCCTCCAGTTCCAAATGTTACCTTCAAATGTGGACCATGGCCTGGTCTGGGTTCTGCCCCATAGACCACTTATGACATAATTACTCCTGCCCTGTGACCATGGGTCTAGCCAAGCCTGACCCTCACTCTATCGATTCGCCCTGTCTCATTTATCAACAAGGTGGCTGATTCTCCTGTCTGGGTAAGCATGGGAGGTATTTCATCAAGACATTTGACACCTTCCTTTGAAGGGTGAAGGACAGAACATATGAATGCCTCTGATTAACATCTAAAGGCAGCCTGGCCCCCTGAAATTGCCCCTCTGTGGAGTAGCTCTCAGTAAATCCAGCTGGCTCCCACTGAAGGGACCTCTACCATTTCAACTCATTTATCAGCAATTCCATCTGCTTGAGTTTGGGGCACTCTGTGTGTCTGTGGTTCTGTCATGTCTGCCTGGGTTGCTCCCTCAAGAGTTCCTGGCCTCCGTGCAAGGTCTAATCCAGGCCTGTCATCTTTCCCAATGATATAGCTAGGGCAGCTGTGGCTTCTTCCTTGATGGTAGGGTGGTTGCCAGAACTCCTGAGGGGCCCACCATCTAATTTCCATGCTTGGAGCTAAATATGTGTGTGCATGATCTTTCCTTGAAACTGTAGGAGAGGACAATGCTCCTCTACCTTTTACACCAAATTGATTTAACGTCTTTTTAAAGAGCGGTGAGCTCATCCCTCCTTCCATCCAACTTCAAACGGCCAGTGGTCTCATTAACCTAATTGCCTGACTTTAAGTAACTTACTTAAATTACCAATTAATGGATGGCCATTTCTATCCAAACAAGACATTTTAGAGTATTCCCACTATAAAAAATGAATTGCTTTCAACCATGACAGATACATCTCTCCCTTTAGGGGCTTATCCCAATAATTATAGTCGATATGCTTCTAAGCCCCGAGAAATTTTTAAAAGAAAGGTACAAGTGGCAAGTTCATACTGATTACAAACTGGGGAATCCTTTTTCAGTGATGGTGTTTTGGAAAGTTTGTCACTCAACCAAGTTATACTAAATTATAAAGGCAATTAAATGTCAGTTCTGTAGAACATTCGTCCTTTGTGGGGAAAATATCCCTTAGGAAAAAGAATACTGAAACTATCAGCAGCCCCTGTTGGCTACATTGAAGCTAATAAAATTACTAGTGATAAATTCCTCATCAATGAGGGGGACCCTGCTGTGCTGCTTCTTCTGGCTTTAGTCACAGTGAACACAAGGCACAGAGCTTGAATTATTGGCTGTGCTCATTTTATTGGTTTGGGCTTTTGGGGATGCAGTGGGTTCTATGGGAGATTCTTTTCATGTTTTGCTTTTATTCCCCTCAAGGAGCAGCTGGTTTTGTCTTTAGTTTATATATATATATATATATATATATATAAATATATATATATATATATATATATATCAGGGCAATCATTAGAAGTCTGGAATTTGGACATGGGCTCTTCCCAAAACACCTGATGTCGACCCCAGCTGGCTTGCCAGAAGAGCTCACTCAAGACTCAATTGGGAGAGATATGGGGAAGGAGAAGATATGGTGCCAAAATGAAGGCTGCAGTCACAGCTGATAGGTGGGCCCTGACAGAGAGAGGGAGAAGGTACCATTAGGAAGTGACAGAAAGGAAGAAAAACTGAGGAGTATGTGGCCAGTGCTACAGTTGAGGCTGGGCCTCCAATGCCAGGGTCTCGCTCATCATACCAAGACTAGACCCCTGTCCCTTGCTGATCTGAGCACAGTTTTAAATTTCTATATAGAGATGGTTGCTATGGCATTGTAGATATCACAACTCCACTACAAGTCTCAGGAACAGCATGGGGTTCTTGAAGATAAGATACACAATGAAATTGCTAGGGACTGGAACTTTCTGATGGAGACAAGGGCTGGTGCTGATTTCAGAGTGCAGTTTCCCAAATGCCTGGGATCCTATTACTGCTCAATCTCTCCCTTTCATGTCAACCAAACAGTTCTTTTTTGCTTTAGACTAGGACACCAAGGATGACAAAGGGAAATCCAAATTGGAAACCCATTGTCACTTCTGGATCACAGCATTCATCCACGTGCTAATCAGCTCTCTGTAACATAAAACCCTCTTCTGAGAAACACGCCTCAGCAACCAGGATGGAAATCAAGCCCAGAGCTTGACAGTGGTTGATATTGATGCCTACCTGCTGGCTGCCTTTTCTCTGCATTCATTTTCTGCATTTTTCTGTCCTGTGCTATATGTAAAGGTTGATTTTTATGGATCTCATCTTCTGTCTTAATCAATGGGATACGCTGGCTGGAGACTTGGACAGGGGGTTGAGAATGAGTTCAGAGTATTCCTACCTTCTGCTCCCTCCTTATAGGGACAAGGCACATCATTATGACAGGGGCTATGCCTACTGCCCACAGCCACAGCTAAGCACCTTCTCTTCCCCAACACTCAGCTATAGCAGCACCATAGCCCTCCTGAGAGGCTAAAGAATGGCCCCCAAAGGTAAGCAACTGGAACCCGTGAAGGTTGCCTTATAAATTCAAGTAAGGAGCTTGAGATGGGAGAACATCTGGGTGATACAAGTGCAACCAAATGTGTGCTTAATGCAACCACAAGCGTGCTTATAAGAGGAAAACAGGCCACATGCAATGTAATCCCAGATAGCTGTAATCCCAGCTACCTGGGAGGCTAAGGCAGGAGGATCACAAGTTCAAGGACAGTCTTGGCATCTTAGAGAGACACTGTCTCAAGTAAAGACTGTCTCAAGTAAAAACAGAGACACTGTCTCAAGTAAAGACAGAGACACTGACTCAACTAAGTCTTGGCATCTTAGAGAGACACTGTCTCAAAGTAAAAAGTCAAAAGGGGTAGGGATATAGCTTAATGGTAGAGTGCCCTTAGGTTCACTGCAGAAATAAAAGAAAAAAAAAAAGAAAGGCAGAGGGAAATTTGACCAGGGAAGCCAAGATTGGAATGACAAGGACACAAGCCAAGGAATTCGAGAAGCAACCAGAAGCTGAAAAGGGCAAGGAATGGATTCTCCCCCTGGAGTCTCCAGAAGGAACCAGCCCTGTCAACACGTTGACGTTAGCCCAAGGAAATTCCTTTCAGACTTTTGGCCTCCAGAACTGTAAGGGAATAAAGTCTGTGTTTTAAGTCACTGAGTTTGTGTTAGTTTGTGACAGCATTCTAGGAAGTTGATAGCCCTCCCCAGCCTGCCATTGCTAGTGGCGACATCCATCGTTGGTTTCGTTGGTTTCTGTACCTCTGTAAATGGTCCTTCCGGAAAAAGTCTCTTCAAAAATCTCTGCTGAGTGTGTCTTCTGCGTTCTTCCAGAATCCTAACTGATATATTGTATTTCATCCCAAAAATAATTGATGATGGCATAGTTTTTAAATGGAATAATAAAATTGTGTTCAGTGAGAAAATTAGAGAGCGATAGAAATGAGTACAAAAGAAGCATGAAACCAAGACTAATATTCATATCCAAAATTCACACCTTATAGGCCTGAACACTTGTCAATAATTAGCCTACAGATACAACTCTCCCAGCAGCCCTCACAAAGCATTTTAGTATACTATTTCCTAAATTGATAAGAGGAATCACAGATACCCTGCAAAATATTCAAATACCTAGTTATCACTTCGTCTAAAATCTGCCAAATCAGAATGTAGTAGGGAAGTCATAAGAATCTGAATTTTTTCAATTTTTACTTGTTCTTTTTAATTATACATGACAGTAGAATCTATTTTGATATATTTATGCAAACATGGAATATATCTTATTCTAATTGGGATCCCAGTCTTATGGGTGACCACAATGTTGAGATTCACTGTGTATATATGAATACATTGTGGTGTATTCACAGATGTACACAGGAAAGTTATATTAGATTCATTTCACTATCTTTCCTGTTTCCATCCCCCTTTCTTTCCCTCATTTCACTTTGTATAATCCACTGAGCATCTATTCTTCCCCTCTACCCCCATCCCCACTCATTGTGAGTTAGCTTCCACATATCAGAGAGAACATTCAACCTTTGATTTTTGGGGACTGGCTTATTTGACTTAGCATGGTAATCTCAAGATCTATCCATTCACCAACAAACGTCATAAAATCTAAGAATCTGAATTTTAATAAATATGCAACATGATTTAGACAAATCATAAAATCTATAAGATAAGAAAATAACATGAGGATTATTCATAAGGGGAACAGTGTTAATGATATGAAAATAAGGCATCATCTCAAAACTGGAAAGATGCCACAATTTTATGTCCCCCTCCATCTGGGGTGAAGCTCTGT